AAGGCGCCCAGCAGTGGTTGAATGATCTGTATTGCACGTGCTATCAAGGTTTATACCTTCAAGTTGCCTGTTCAGTGGTACTGCATTGGTGATCTGCTACGACTTTGATATTTAAACAACTTCTAACATACAGTCAAGGCCAAACTCCTCAGTTATTTTTAAGCTTTCTTTTTTAAGGGCATTCTTCGATCATACAAAGTTACGAGGCTGTTCTTCTAGAAGGGAAAGTTAATTGTATGCACGCCCTCTTGTCTTTATTACGACCAGGTTCCTTTGCCACCGGGAAGTGGGAACAGGTGGGAAGGAGGGGCCACAGCCTGCTTTGCCCCACCTGGGCCTGGCGGGGGCGCGAGGTGGGGTTGAAAAGCTTAAGGGCCAATTGGTAGGAGCAGGTGGCGGGGGTGGGGGTGTTTTGAGGCCCATTTTGTGAAAATGCCGGCTTTTGGTGAGAGGGCCTATAGATACTTTTAAACTTATATTGACAAAGGGCGGATGACCCCACAGAGGCAGCCCCGCTGCACCTGGGTTCCCCGGGGCCCAGGTGGGGAGGCCTCAGCATCTGCCCAATGCGGATGGGGGCCTGGCAGGGCGTTGTGGGTGGAGCTAACAGCCTCAGGACGGGACAGCTCTTTGGCAACCAGTGAGGACACTCGGGCAGAGCAAGGCAGGGGACCCTCTGCCGGAACAGAGAGCTCCCATGCCAGACAGCCTGTTTCTGCTCAGCCCTCTGTACCAGCTCCTCCCCTCTGGGTGGGTTTTCTGGGCCTGGGGGGTCTAAAAGGCTGAGAGGAACAGAAAAGCAGGAAGCGCTATGCTGTGCCTGTGACTCCTCACTGGTGGGCAAGAGTCGGGGTGAGGGGAGGTTCAAACCAGGCCCGGCCGAAGCACGGGCAACGTCCACCCGCTTGGTCCCAGCCCCTCGCTGCCCAGATGGTGCGGTGCTTCAGGGCGCCATAGACTCCCCAGGTTGAAGCCCAGCTCTCCTGTTTACGGGGCTCCTTGACCCCGGATGGTTTAACCCCAGTTTTCTCCAGAACGTCTGCTGTTGGAGGGTTAACTGAGTTAATACATGTCAAGCGCGCAGCATGGACCCTGGCCCACGGTAAGTGCTTAAGAAATGTTAGGTATGATTATTGTTACTTTTATTAGGTTGCGCCTGTCGGAGCGTACCAACCAGCACGGGGTGGGGGTGCGGGGAGAGCACGCAGAGGGGCCAGGGTGCAGCCTCGCAGGCTGTGCACAGCCCAGGCAGCTCTACCCTGGCCCCGGATGCCGCGGACGGCCCAGACACCCTGCTCCAATTTCTGAGTAATAGGCACCACCTGAAGCTGGTCCATCTGGGACAAGGTGTCAGACAACATTAAGAAACGCCGTTGTGCGGCTTTTTGAGTAGAGCTACAGGTCTGGATAAGGTGCGGCCCAGCCCTCGAGAAGGTCACAGGGTTGTAGGAGCGACATCTAGGGTCTTGGCCAAGTCCCTCTTCTCTGGGCCAGTGTTTCCCCCACCTGCTCGTATCGGGGTTGGGTTGGTTTTGAGGTGGCCCGCAGGCTTTCTCCTCGTATGCCCGCTCCAACGGACGGAGGCAGGAAATCGGAAGCTGCTTGGGGCTGGGCAGGGAGGGCTCTTTAGTTGGTTCATGATGCCTGCATGAGGCCAGGGGGAGGGCAGCGGTGGCTTCTGGGGGCCACTCGCCTTCTTCAGATTAGCTCAGGGGTCCTCGAGTCGGGTCGCACCTTGGAATCACCAGAGGTTTAACCCTCTGATTCAGGGTAATTTTTTGAGAGCCCTGCAGGTGTTTCTTGCGTGGGGCTCGGCTGGGAACTGCTGGGGTGCACACGCCCGCGGTGCTCGCTGCCCCGAGCCTGGCACCTTCTCGGCGCGGCTTGGCTCGCACGGAGGTTTGCGCTTTCTTCCCGCAGAAATGATAGGGGAGTTAAAAGGCTGGTCTTCTATCGGTTTTATTGCTGGGGCAGCTTTCTTTTTAGGTTGGGAGACGGAGGCTGAGGGCACTGGCTGCCGCTAGGGATTGCTGTATCTGGGGGCCTCTTCCCGAGGCATGCTGCGGGGGTTCCCGGGGGGAGGCCTGGACTTTGCATCTGGGTGCTTTCCCAGGGATCAGAAAAGCCTGGCTTACTCTGGCTTCATCAGGGAAGCCCCGTGGAGCACTCAGTTTCTCTTTTAAGCTCTTCTCAGTCCCCAGGGACGGTGGGAAGTTGGGACGCTGCAGAGGCTCACTGAGGTCTGCAGGTAGTAACATGCCCCAAACTCACAGGCCCTGCCTCTGGGCCTTTGGAAGGCACGCAGCAGGGAGAAGGAAGCCAGTGAAAGCTGACCGGGGTGCTGGGCTGGAGGGCGCAGGGCCGGGGGGCCGAGCTCGGAGCTGGTGCTGAGGGCCACGGGCAGTCCTGGACACTGGCAGTAAAGCCGGCAAAGACCTGGCGTTTCTGGGAGACCCGGCCGCAGCCCCTCCTTGAGCCCAGGCAGGATCCAGCCAGCTGTCCTCGGCCCCGCCCGTCAGCCCCTCGGGACCCAGCCCTGGAATTCCAAGGGGCAGGTCACGGGGGCTCTGCCTCCCACCCGGAGCAAGATAGAAGCAATCAAATAACATAGAATTCGATCATATTTTAAAATAAGCTTTATTTAGATTTTTTTTTTATATTTTATATTTGCATCCATGCCTTCGAGAAACCTTTCCCATGGGAGAGGTTATTTTCATCTAATGTTACCCATAACTCATTCGCTATTTGACGTAGTTCTCTTAAATAAATCATCCTTAGTAACTCTTAGAATTATCTCCTAATTTACAAAAACTGAAATGAAAAGGAACTACTAAATCATTACCAGGAGTGGTTGCCATCTTATTTTCTCAAAAGGGAAAACCAATGCAAATCAATCAAAAGAAAAAAGAAATCATGGGGGGGTCGGGTAGGGGAGTGTTTTCTAAAATCTCTTCAGAGAAAGATGCCAGCCTTGGTCTCCCTGTTAAAATAGCGTAGCCCAAGGAGGCCAGAAAGAGCCTTATTAGGTGCGCGGCCGGCTCCTTCCCACCCCCACGAGGTCAGAAGCAAAGGGAGCAGCTGGCCGGGGCTTTTCTGTTTGTTTTAGAGACTTTGGACAAAATATCCTATCCGTTCTGATAGAGACGCTCCAGCATTTTAAAATCTTGTTTCTTGGTAAGAGCAGAAAACATTACTGTTAGCAGAAAGCGCAACTACTGTTGTTTAGAGGGTGTGTGAATTGAGCTGTGTTAGTAGTTAAGGGGGAGCACTGGGTGGCGGGTGCGGGGTGCAGGGAATCACAGGCCAAAAGAAAAGGGAAGCTAGTTTCAGGCCTTGGGAGGCCCTGGCTTCTAGCTCGCGTGACCTCTAATCACCCCATGTTTAACGCACACGGTTCCTTGCTGGTGACACCTCATGGGGGCCAACTCTGCTCCCCAAATAGGCAGGTGTTCCTGTCAGCCCTCTCCCTGTCAGGGAGAGGGCTCAGGCTGCCTAACGGGTCCCGAGAGATTCTGTCACGTGTGGCTGGAGGAACCAACCAGAATGGGGAGGGCAGAGGCCCTGGTCCTGGACCCTGTGTCCCCAACAGCCCTCCCCTTGAGACAAGAGCCTCCCCGAATGACACTTGCCTGGTCAGCGTGCAGAACCACCCAAGGATGAGCGAGACGGCTACAGGGAGGAATGCGTGCCACAGGCGGGCCCTCCTGGAACCGCTTGGCTGGGGGTCCCCTGCAGTCATACCATGTGGTCTTGCAATTGGCTGTCTCCCCCCGTATTCAACCTCACTCAAAAGACAGACCCAAGAGAAGGTGACCATTACAGTAGGGGCTCTGCTCACTGACGTCAGTGTTCCGTAGCTCAGGTAAATAAATAGAGAGGCCTGGAGAGAGCGGTGGGCGGGAAGGCAGGTGAGCGCACCTCCATGCAGGGGCGGAAGAACGGGGAGAGGAGGAAGTAACAGAAAAAAGCAAGCTTTGAAGTCCCACGGTCCCTGGGTTCCGGCCACCCTAAACTCTACCTTGCGCAGTTTGGCAGCAGCATGATTAAGAGACTAGACAAGTCAACAGGAACACCCGCCTCCCGCCCCGCCCCCCCCACCCCCATGGAAAAATATACATTCCAATATTTATGTAATAATTTAGTTAGAATAAGTCTTCTGCATTTGTGCAAATAAATTAAATGGAACAATGTTCTTTTCCTTTTTTTCATAAAGAAAGAAATGGCAACGCAATTTAAAAACTGGCAGGCCATTAAAAAGAGCCTGTTTGACCTCAACAAACCCAGCCAAGACGAGCCCCGGGCCGGGCTTTTGACACTCTGGCAGAGAGCGGACCTTACCCTGACGATGGTGGAGTTCTGTGGTTAAAGTGACTTGGGCGCGCCCCGAGAACAGGGTCTGGTCCCACACGTTCACACCGGGGGGGGGGGGGGGGGGGGGGGGGGCGGGAGGGGGGGGACATAAAAAACAGACCACATCCTCGGGGAGACGGGCTCCAGAAGTAGCAGTTTGGACAAGGGACATTTACAAGCACAGAGTGCACAATAGTTTTTTGTTATTTACAAATACACAGCAGTCCTTCAAGTTTTCAAGTTTCATAAAAATGAGGAGGGGAGGGGAAAGGGAAAAAATAAACCCAACGAACCAAACAAAAAGAAACACTGAAAAAAAAAAAACAAAAAAAAACAGAAAACAAAACGAACCCAGATTAACAACACAACTGTATCGCGCCAAAGACGACAGAGTTGACATATTAACACACATTTGTGGTATGTACATCAATTACAGAGGTGGCGACGCAAGGGGAAGGGGTCACACGTGTTTGCGCCTGGCCACACCCAGCTCCCGCGCCCACGCTTGTCCCACGCACGCACACCCCCACGCACACCCCATGCACGCACACGCATGTCCACACGCACAGACACGCCTGCCGGGCAGCAGGCCAAGGGAGGTGGGTATCACCAGTCCGCGTCCTCCTCTATGTAATAATCAGGGGCGGTACCATCAAAGAGGCCGGGGTCGAGGGACTTCCGCTGCTTCCCTCTGGCGAAGACGCGGGAGATGGAGCCAAATCCCATCTTCTCTTTCTTCTTTTTCCGTTTTTGGTCTTCAAGATCCTCTAGTGACTGAGGAGTCGGGGCCAAGTGGCAGAGATACAGGGGAGAAGAACAAAGCCAACCTGAGCGGGGAGCACGGGACAGGAGGGGCAGGGGTGGGCAGGGGCGGGCAGGGGCGAGTGGCAGGGGTCACCAGGGGTCAGGAATGCCAGGATCTGCCCGGCACTCGATGAGGAACCTTAGGCCAGTTACTCAAGATTGTCATGAGGATGGCCCCAGAATGAGGATAAAAACGCTTATAACAGCACCTGGCCTGTCATCAGCATTCCCTAACGGTTGGCTGCGGGTGATGCGCGCAGCATCATTTAAATTGTTGGCCCACAACCTTCCAGCACCTCGTGAGGGCTTGCAGGAGTGTGTCCAGGCCACAGGCCCTGCCTGCACGGGCACTGAGCAGCTGCACCGGTTCCTGTGAAAAAGTCCCACAGAAAAGGGGGCCTGGGAGAGCCTGGAGGGCGAGGACAGAGGAGACCTGAGCTTTCTGGCGGCCAAGGACAAGGACCCTGGACCTGAAGGCCCTGGGCAAGACATAGGACTGGCCCAGGTCCTGTGCGGAGGCTGGGGCTTGGGTTCTAGTCCTGATTATGGGAAAATTATGGGGACCTGGGGGTGGCGACTGCCAGAGAGCTTTGTAAACTGTCAAGTGCTTTGCACAGACGTGGGACATCGCTCTCCATCAGGAAGCGGGTGGGATTAGACGAGTCAGTGATACAAAATACATTTGCTGAATTCCAGGCCCAACCCACACCTGGTGGATCAGTTCAGAGTGAAGGGCCCAGAAATCTGCATTTGGAAAACTTCCCTGGTGGACCCTCATGTGATGAACGGGCGTACAGACCGGCACGCGGGAGCCCCAGGACTAGAAACGGACCTCAGACACCGCTCCTGACCCTCAAATGCATGTTGTTTTCCTCCCTGCAGTTCCCTTCTTCACCCTGATGACAGACTATTAAAATGCTAAAAATGAATTAAAGTTTCCTGCAGCGAGGGGCCCAGTGAGTTCAAGGCTTGGGTCGTCGGACTTTGGCCGCTGGGGGAGAGGACATTACCAGGGCCGCAGGGTGCAGGATGTGTGATGCACTTAGTAGGTTTACAGGTTCAGGAGAGGGCACGGACGGACGGAGCCCATGGCGAGCCCGATTCCGGCGCCGGCCCACAGTGGCTCCCGGGTGCCTTAGCTCCTCTCTGCCTCGGGGGCCCAAGTACGGGAAGGGGGTGCCAGGGGCCCCGGGGAGCGGGCTGAAGCCGTGGTCAGGCTGGGGTGGAGGGAGGGCCCAAGACCCCAGCGAAGGCACACCTACCTGTACAATGGGGTTGTGCAGGTTCTTCTGAACTGGGCCGGGACTGTCGCCCTGTAGCCAAAGGAGAAGAGAAAGATGAAACGGCAGAGACACAGGACACACGAGAGCAGGGGTGGCCTGTGAGGTGAGGGATCTTCCGTGCGAGGAAGCCATCCCTTAGGGACCACCCTGCCTCTGAGTGGGGAACCCCCCCACCCCCTTAGCATACACTCCCAGATGGCTCAGTGGGGAGGGCCCTGGGGCTCACTGAGACACTGTCTAGATCAGGGGGTCCTGGCCTGAGGCCCTGGGGTGCTCTCCCGCCTGCTCTGGCCTCTTGACCCTCAACACCCTCTGACGAACAAATCGGATACTTAAGGGCTTCTAAGTTTCTGTCTCAGTTGATCTATTGCATTGGAACTGGAGGTTGGTTATACTTGGTGCTTTTCCTAAAGAAACATCATTTTATAGAAAAAAGCACAAAAATAAAGATCAGGAAGACTCGGGAGACTCTGTAGCCTTTAACTCCTCCCACAAACACAATGAATCACGTATTTTGTGGAAGGACAGAAGGATTCATTAGCCTGATTTACAGATACACAGACTCCATACAGTCCAATTATCATGGAGTTAATTAAAAGCAGAGCTACAATGCAAATTTGGGACATTCTGGTCCCTCCTGGCCTACTTCTCCTTCCTCTGGTGTACAAAAGTGGATGTGCAAAAGCCTTCACCACATCCCAGAATCAGTCTGTTCTGCCTGGGGCAAACAGGTCATTTGGATCACAAATCATTACTAGGGAGACCCCTGGTGGTTATTTCCAGAATTGCAAGCAAAGTGCTCCTGAAGAAACAGAGCCTGGGTCACTTGCCATGACCATCAACCTTCTCCAGCCTCTCTGTGTCTCTACCTTTGCTCTAAACTAGTGGCCAGAGCATGAGAGGATGGGGGAGGGGTTATTAGTCCAGACTTGGCTGTTCTCGCTGTTGTCAGGTCAAACGCCTGAGAACAGAGGGTTACCTGGGGCTATTTTCAGGCTCTTCCTGGCTTACCTGTGTGCCCATCTGTTGATATGTGGGATGAAGGTAGTTGAGGGAGGGCAGAAATGGAACACATGATAGTTTAGTCTTTAGTCCTATCTCACAGCTGACAAACAACTCACAGCAGGCAGCTAAAACAGGCTTACTCTGGGTAGGGCCATGTTTGCCAAATTTATGGGGAAAAGAACGAGGCCAGTGCCTACTGAAGCGTATCCAGACAACTGGCTTATCGAAGCACCAATGTCCTGGCCGCAGGGCCCTGTCTAAAATGAACTTGGAAATACATGTTCTGGACCCGCTGCCTATAGCAGCAGGTACGTGCCAAGGCCACACTGGGCAAAAAGCTAGGCCTGTGCCAAAGCAATTCAAGGGGCCTTCAGAGAACGCTTCCTGCAGGATGGATTTTCCAACAGTATGCTGGCTGGCAGAGCCCCTTTGGGCCCATCAAGAGAAGACCAAAATAAAAAAAAAAAAAAGGCCCTTGAGAAGTTTTCCCATTGGGCTACACACAGACACTCAAGGGTCTGGGCTGCACTGGGAGATGCTGGCTGGGGGTGTAACTCAGCAGTGGCCCCTCAGAACCACAGGACAGATGCCGGGGCCCTCGAGGGGCCCACCGTGTGCGCCTTGGTTCTGTCAGTCAAGACAGCCCTTGTCACCAGGGTGCCTTCCGGGGGACGAGGGAACACGTTACTTCTGTTATCACGCTCCAGTTAAAAAAGATCCCAGCCCTTCGTGAGGCCCCAGGCCTGGCAGCGGCCGGGTCCTCCCCAGCAAGACAGGGGCTGAATGAGGGCCCGGGCCACCAGGCTGCGGAGACTGACTTTAAGTTCAGTCTTAGCTCATTTTATAAGCGCTTTTCATTGTTATTGTAGAGAAAAGAAGTTTCCATTACGATTATTTGTACATAGGAAAGTTACTGATTGTTATCAATTGATTTTTCAACCAGTACAGTTATGTACTAGCTTATTATTAGTTCTACGGCTTTTACGTTTATTCTCCTGAGCTTTCCAGGTAGATAACTGTATCATCGGCAAGTAGGGGTTAATTTGCCTTTCCTTCCCACTAGATTCATCTCGTTTCTTTTTATATTAACAATTTCGCTACATTCACTGAGCTTTTGAGAAAGCCTTCCCATGCACTTGAACACCTACTCTACTGTGTCTCTGTCTTCAGGTCCTGGCAGGGGAGCTCTCTGTGTTATCAACCTCGTGCTGGGACAGGAATGAAGAGCAGCCCCACCCGCACCCTCAGTGTTCGCATTAGAGCCTCGACATGGTGTCCTGCTGTCCTCTGACCCTTGACCCACCTTCGCTTCAGCACCCCCGTCCCCCCCTACTCCTTGGGAGCCTCTGCCTGCCGTACTAGTCATCAAGAGTTAGGTGACTAGGGACATGTGCCTCTTGGTAGCTGGCACCCAGTCGGCATTAAAAAGGGTTTGACTAAGAAAAACAAACAAACTTAGAACAAATTCATGGACACCTCTCCAGAGCCTTGCGCTAAAGCTTCTGGAAGCTCAAAAAAATCTGCCTTGTTCCTGGATGAAGATTGGGAGCTGGACCCACAGGGAAATGCTGAGCTGTGGGGGGCCATGTCTGGGAGGAGAAGCCCGCGGTCTCGGCTCGGACACAGCCCACCAGAGGGAGCCCCGGGCTGCACAGACCCCACGGCCGACCCAGGCCCGCCTTCCTCTGGATTTTCCTTGCCCTCCCGGACACAAGGAGCAAATAGGCCTCCTCTCTTTCTCTCCCCACATCCATCTCTTCTTGCAAAAGGAAAGAACAGAACAGGAAGTGCCTCCGCCAGAGTGCTCCCTGGGTGGACGAGAGGAAACAGCGAGTACGTCTTCGCCCGCCTCCCACCCCCGCGGTGTTCGGGCAGGGCCCAGGGCCCAGGCCCTGCTGCTGCTGGCCTTACGTTGCAGAGGGAGTGGGTCCGGTGTCGAGGGGAGTTGATGTCGCTGGGCGTGGACGACCGGTCGCCTTCCGCGGCAGACGCATCGGAGATGACAGAGGGCTGCCGGGAGTGGCAGGGGCTCACCCTGACCGCTGGAAAGAGGGACAGTTCACAAGTGAGGGATGGAAGCAGTGTCCTTGCCTTTGCTGCCTTGCTGAGGATTCCACCAACACCCTCCTTAGACAGGTAAGAACACTGAGACGTAGAGAGGACGCCTGCCCAGCTCTCCGCCCCTCTATTCCACAGCCCCACAGGTCATCAGGAGCAGCTTCCAGAAGAATCTCCCATCATGGCCTAAGGATCCAATTAGGCCCCCTCTTCATGAGGGTGAGGGACAGGAAGAGGCATGGTTTCCTGGGACCCCGGTGGCTGTCCCCATAGTGCTCCCACCACCTGATAGTGCTCCCACCACCTGATAGTGCTCCCACCACCTGATAGTGCTCCCACCACCTGATAGTGCTCCCACCACCTGGACAGACGATCCCTAAACCTGCTGGTCAATGCCAGCTTCCCGAGCAGGAAGCCTTGAGGCCACCAGCAGCTCCTCTCTCCCCCACACCTGGTCATCTCCAGGGCTTCTCATCACAACCCCAAACCCGCCTGCTGCTCCCCACCCACTGCCACCATCTGTGTCCAAGCCTCGCACTGCAGAGCACGCCAGCCATCTGGTCAACCTGGGGTTACAAGTACAGGCTGCTCCTCCTGGCTGCTGAGGCCGGAGGGGATACGGCCCTCCCCACCCCATGAGCCTCGGCTTGTGTCATGCCGGCCTCTGTCAGTGCCCGACACACTGCGTCCCCCTCCTGCCTCAGCCTTTGCTGGTCCTGCTGCCCTTGGGCACCTCTCACCATTCAGGCCTGTCCTAAAAGAGGCCTTCCTCAATGACAAGCTCTCCCCACCGCTTTGTTTCCCCACCAAAGCTGTTTTCTGCTGATTTCTCTCCCTGCACTAAGTACAATCTGTTGTCATTTTGTATGTCAGTTTAGTTACATGGTGTTGTCTATCTTCACACCTTCGTCAGCTCCACAGGGACAGGCACCCTGGGTGTCTTATCCATATTGAACCCCGGGCTCCCAGTGCTTGGCCCACAGTAGGTGCCCACTCAGCGGTCGTTGACGGAAGGGCTCAGCCCAGAAGGCGCACCGGGAAGCCTGCGCCAGGCCCCCTGCACACTGCCTTCCTGGATGCAGGTGCAGGCACTGAGTACAGGAAGCGCTTCGTGTGGCAAGACTGACTGAGGGCCTACTATGTGCAGGTAGCATGGGAGCAGGTAGGGCTATACGACTGAGAAAGGCCGCCCTTGCTACCAGTGCCATAAGGTCTGTCGGGTAGGGCAGTGGCAAAGAGGGGCTCTGGGGTCAGAGCCTGGGCTCCCAGCTACGGGATGTGACAGCAGGACTTTAGGGCTCCAAAGGCCAGCTGCCTGCCCCCAACCTGCATGGCATGTAAAGGCAGCCACTCACAGGAGTGACAGAGAATGGAGCCACGTGAGCTGCAGGAGTGCGGAGGGTTTGGGGTTTGTACTATGGCTGGTGGACACAGATGCTGCCCAGGGGCTGGGTCCTTCCTCCCCCCACCTCTCCAGTGCCTACAGGGACCACTTGAGACTTTTATTCCTGGCCTTCGCACACATCCTGTGATTGTGTGGAGCTGTCAATCAATCCTTTGGTAAGGGAGACATCCACTATCTCCTCTACCAAAGGATGCCATGTGACCCAGGCTGGAGAATCACTGTACTAGCTGCCTAGCCACAGTACGTGGCCCTCGGGTGGGTATGTGACTCAGGCTGGCCAATCAGAGTCATTCTTTCGGATTTGCTATGGACGTAGAGAGTTTCCCTTTCTCAAGACTTTTGAGCTCTAAGCTAATATCCTGGAACTGCTGGGGACTGTTTTGCTGCCTTGTGGAAAGAGACAAATTCAAGATGAGGCCATCTGAAGGCAGGCAGAGCTGAGAGACAGAGAGATGGACGCAGGTATTGTCTAAAAGGTGGGGAGCGGCTGCGTCTGAGGTCCACCTCTTGGACTTTTCAGTTACTTGAGCCCGTGGCTTCTGCTCCACACTCCCCCGGCATCTATAGTGCAAATGGGGGCTCTGTCTTCCCCACCGGGTCAGGTGGCCTCCTAAGAAGCCCCCCACAGCCGTGGCTGGGCCAGGACTCACCTTGCCGGTCTGCGGGGTGAGGGGGATGCGAGTGGTAGAGAGTCTGCTGGCTCTGCCGGATGGCGGCCGTCAGCGGCAGGTCCGCCTGCACCACCCACTCCTGGTTGCCGTTGAGCACCGTCTCGCCTGGCATGGCAAGTGAATGCCGCTTGGGGACATCCTTGGTCAGCGTCGCTAAGGACTGTTTGGCCTGGAGAGAGAGCCGGGAAACAGGAAGGGGACAGCGTGATCAAGGGGACCTCTTGGCCTGCTGCTTGGCCATCACCCACCATCGTGAGAAACCCATGAATCGACCTGTGCACCAGGGCATCTCTGGCGCTGCATTGAGTGCCAATCAGCAAGTCAAGCACCTGCACGGCAGGCGTCACCTGTGGGGGGTGGTCACTTGGGTTTTACCCCTTAGTTCCTGACATGACATGGCGAGACCAGCAATACAGAGAGAAAGGCAAGGCAAGCACACGCACATCACCCACTCTTTTCGGTTCTCCAAGGACTAGCTGGGACTTGGAGGACATTGTAAGAAATGGTGTTTGGGTGTCCGTCCCCTTAGATCCTCCCAGTAACAACCTGTGACCTCCCTCCATGAGGTGCCGCATGATGCAGGCCGAGGACAGGGCAGCCTGGCGCCCAGGGTCGCATGATTGCGCATGGGACACAGGGACGCCTGGGGCCGGCGCGGGGCTGGGTTGGGGCGGCGGAGTCAGGCGGCTCTTCCTTTCTCTGTCCGGTGACTGAGGTCTCTCTCAGCTTTGGGTTACCTCCCCCCAGGATATGTGGGGTTTTATTAGAAATAATCTCAGATTATTTGGGGGAGAAAAGGGCACATAATAGAAATATATTAATGTGCATTCTTTTCCTCACGGTCGATTTCTACTATGCAGCCGGCTCCCCAGGCTCATGCCAGGGTCGGGGGTCAGGGTGGGGGTGGCGGTGGGATGCATGGGCGGGCCCAAGAGTCCCAGACCAAGATCTCCAGTGAATCACATGCCCCAGTGAATCTGGGTGAGTGCTGGCTTCGCCCCTAATATGAACGCAGATACAATGAAAAACTTCATCTCACCCCTCCTGCTCCAGAACTTTCCATACCTTGCCTTAGGCTCTTTCTGGCAGAGATTACAGCAGATGAATGGACAGTTCTTGGCCTAAAGCCTGACACATGCTTGTCACATTGACTAGCTGTGGTATTTTAGATAAGTCGTTACCTTCTGTGAGGCCCAGTTTCCACATCTGTGGAAATGAGAATCCTGGACCAAACGATCTTTAGGGTTCTCTCCAGCTCAGACACCCCAGGAGTTTGTGAAATCGCTCCCCTTCCACCACCAGCTCCCCAGGAATATAAATCTACAGGGCAAAGGGAGGTCAAGTTGAGAGCGTCAGCTCCACCCCCAAGCCCAGCAATAGTCTCCTCCCTCGCTTAGAAAACCTTCATGTGCTCAGGGCAACAGCTCTGGGTCTCAGGGAAGGCGTGTGGAATTATCTACGCTTGACCGAGGAGAAGCCAGAAGCTCAGAGAGGGGCAGTGGCTTCTCCAAGAGTGGAAAACGGGCACAGGCAACATCCAAGTTGGGCTCCAAGCCTGGGTGCCCGGCTGTGAGCCCCTTGTGGGGTCCATGGTGCCCACGCTCCGCTGGGACGAGAAATCAAGCAGCTTAAGTGATGCAGGCTCCGTCCAGGAGGCAGAGAGTGGGGCATGTCTGCCCGGGGCTGGCACCTCTGCCGTAGCACCCGGGGAAAACCCGCAGGACAAATGGAAGCTGGCACCTCTGTGTTGGGCCGATGGCCCAGGGGACCAGCTGTTAACTCAGGACAAGAACAACGGAGCAGTCCCTCTGCTGAAGGCGCGAGCGAGGCCGGATGTGTCCTAGAGCTGTCACGTGCCTGCAGCTGCCCCAGCTTCATGCAGACGCACGTCTCCAGGACCCCTGCGCCTCAGTCGGGACCACCCTGCTTCCCCCTGCAGGTGCACGTGCACCCGGACCCGCCATCCTGGTCCCGCTCCTTGTGGGCAGCAGCTCCTGGGAGGACGCCCTGCTCCCTTCCTCCCGCCCAGAAGGTGGACTCAGGAGAGAAGTGAGCACCCACGCAGGTCTGCTGTCCTGTGGAAATGAACCCTCCGCTCTGCCCTCTGGCAGCATTCCTGGCACATGCGTGGGAAGCACAGGGAAGTCCATGCTGTCCCTGAATCAAGCAGCCGTGTACAACAGCACGGGAAGAGGCCCGGGCAGGGCTGCTCTCCTGTCCCCATAGGCTTTCTGCCCCCAAGTGGAGCCTCACCTGCTGGGGACTTGGAATGGCACCGTCTACTTGGCAGGCAGCTTGATGTCACCGCTACCTGACAACTGGGACCTCCCTTACGGCTGGCCCTACAGGATGGAGCGGTTTACCTGGGAGTTCGGAAGCACAGGATCCTCCCCCAAACTGCCCTGTCACGACCTTAAACCTCTGAAACGGAGCTACGACTCAGGCGTGAACTGCAGATGAGGCATGCGACGCCCTACTTAAAACCTGCACGCACACTCCAGCGGCACGACGTTTCTGACTGATCTCTCCCCCTAAACGCAGTAAGATGCTGGGAGCTCTGACACCCACCCTCTTCTCTGAGTCCCCACGCTCCCCTGAGCCCTCTGAACCCCGAGTTTGGAGCTCGTGGGAATCGATGAGTTGCTCAAGCACCCCCATGTGACAAAAGCCAAAGCACAACTCGGTTCAGACTCCACTTATACTACGTAATTGCTGCGTGACCTTGAGCAAGTTAGTCCATGACAGAGCTTCAGGGCCCTCACTGGTAAGATGGGAAAACCGAGAGGGAGCATGTCTATGTAAGTAGCGCCCCCTGGAGTTGTGCAGTGAGGTGGCCCAGCACAGCACTTTGGAGCTGGGGCTCTGAACCCATACTGTCTGGGTTTGATCCCAGCTCGGCCACTTCTTCACTGAGGCATCCTGAGAGGCCCCTCACCTCTCCACGCCTTTCTGCCCTCGTCTGTCTGTCCGACGGGAAAAATGCAGTTGCAATGGAGGGTGCTGGGCCCATGGTAAAAACACTCAGGAAACGTAAGTGACTGTTATTATGAAACAGTGTCTATTTCACAAGCAGGAATAAGATGTGGAATAATTCACAGGAAGGCCCAGGATACTATCTGGTCTACTGTCACATTCAATAGTAGCAGCCTCAGTGGCTTTCAGGATTATTTAGGTCCTCTCTAAGATCGGGTGATAAAATCCGGGAGGCGGAAGGGGAGAGCAGTGCAAGGCGCGGCCCTCACCCACCCTCCGGGTCAGGCTGATGAAGGCCCCCAGCTGCCTGGAGGGCCCGCTGATCGGGAGGCCGTGTCAGAGAGCGAGCCCAGCCCCGAGGGAGGCCATGAGCTCTGCTAACCCGAATCCTCCCTGGGCTTTTCAAGGGTCTCCTGCCTGGCTGGGGAGCAGCCTTCCAGGCCAAAGGATGGGAGGAGCTAGGAGGCAGGAGATTTCCAAAAAAAACATAGCTCCTATAAACGCCATGGGAGCAGACTCTGCATTTGAACCAAACAGGTATCACACCAGCTACAAGTTGACTCAACTATCCTCTCCCAGGGCTTACTAGACACTGGGACCCTTTCACAGGTCTCGGGGCTGCTGGAGGTGGCAGCATGAACCGATGAGGCAAGTGTTGGCCCCATCCCGTTTCCAGAGGTAGAGGGTAGCTCCTTGGGGGGGGGCAACGTTGGGCTCAGGCGGGCCCTGACCTCACGTGAGGGGGCCGGGGGCCGGGGGCCGGGGCTCAGGCCCGGTGCTGGGAGCTGGCTGTGGGGGAGGCCGGCCCCTGGCCCAGCTGGACGGCAGCGGGCCGGGCCGGGCCGGGAGGGGGTGCTCGTGTGAAGCGGCACCGACCCAGACCATGGCTGTCGGGAAAGGAACCGAGACTTGGGGCCTGTCCTTTGCTGCTCTGCTGCTCGGTCCTGCCTCCCACTCATGTCTCACCAGGCCTAACCCTCACCTGGGCCAGCCCAGGAAACCCAGGCCTAGGCAGGTTAGAAGTGACTTGTTCAAGGTCACACAATGACTGACTTACTGAAACAAACGGGAGAATCCATGTCCTTTCCATTCGCTGTGGCCTGAGGACAGGATGTGCCTAGGTCCAGAACACCCGTCACCACAGCTGACGGTTACTGAGCGTCCATAGTCTGCCCTGGCCCGCCATCGCCTCGAGAGGTGCGATGTGGAAACTGAGGCTCAGGAGGGTTAAGTCCCAGCAAATGGCAGGACCCAGATTGAGACTGGGTTGGAACTGACTGGCCAGGGCACAGACAGACGCACGCAGAGATGAGGGGATCCTGCTCTTGATTCTTGAGAAACATCCTACTTTACACAGGACTGACTGGTTTTCAACCGGGGCGAATTCCCCCCAGGGAATGTTGGGAAATGTCTGGAGACTTTTCGGTTTTCACAGCTGGGAGGTGCTACCGGCATGTATGGCAGGGATGCCGCTGCCACACTCTGCGGTGCTCAGCCCGGCCCACAACAGACTTCTCTGGCACTGGCGAGGGTGAGAAGCCCTCTTTACAGAGTGTTCGCAAGACCGGTTCCTGCTTTGAAGGATGTCAAAGGCCGTCAAAGGCCTTCAAAGGCCTCAAAGCAAAGCCAGCACATCATGGAGCTTGGGGATCCTACAATTCCTGGCTCTGCCTCCCACTCACTGGGCAGCTCTGGACGAGCCCACTGAACCCCCAGCCTGTTTCCACGTGTGTAAAACGGGTACAACAAGAACACATACCTCGCTGGAGGGACTGCTAATGGTATGGGCTTCTTTTTAGGATAATAAAATTGTTCTGCAACTAGACGGTGGTGATGGTTACACAACTCCGTCAACATACTAAAACCCCTGAGTTTTTAGTGGTTTTAGTTTCAGGGGCCGCCGAGCAGGCCAGTCCACGTGGAATCCTGGCTTCCCTACCTCTACGCTACCGCCCTCCACCTTCCCACCGTGACTGTGAGTGCCTAATGTCCTCCAACGCACGCCCGCCCCTGCGCGTACACTAGCCAGAGCTGCTCTCTGTGGCTTGCAGCTCAAGGACGGAAGGCTACGTGCTGAAGGTCCCTTCCCTGTGCTCTCGCCCTGCCCAGCAGCGCACCATGGGGGACCTCCAAGCAGATGGACATCCCACCAACACTGGGGCTGTCGAGGCTCTTAGGAAAGCCCCTTCCCCCTGCGTCTCAGGCCTTTTTCCTGTTACAACAAATCCACCACCTTGGGCTGTAAACATTTACCCGAACCAGTCACACTCGGAGGGGTCCGATGCCTGCCAGGAGGAGGAGGCAAGAACCTGAATTTTATTGGCCATAACAGAAGCGAGTTGAGTAATCTGGGCACGGGGACAGTGGAGGCAGAGGTGACATGGCTCACAATCCTGACAGACCTTGGAATTCCCCAGGATGCTTGAGGCCAGTGCTCCAAGGTACGGAAGACACGTCTGCCTGTGCACAGGGCGCTGGAAAGACCTGAGAGAACAACCCTGGCTGTTGTGGCTGAGTGGATAGAGCACTGGCCTGAGAACCAAAGGGCTGCAGGTTCGATTCCCAGTCAAGGCACATACCTGAGTTGCAGGCCAGGTCCCCAGCATGGGGTGCGCAAGGGGCAACCACACATTCATGTTTCTCTCCCTTTCTTTCTCCCTCCCTTCCCCTCTCTCTAAAAAGGAAAAAGACCTGGGAGAACAGGGGCCTTGCTTCACCCTGCACCAGCTTCCCAGGCCTGCCCCTTGAAAGGGTTCTGTGTGGGCTGCCAGTGGTCAGGCAGCAGGGCGGGCCCCCCTCCATCCAAGAGGGACCTGACAGTGGCAGCTTCTCCCGGCCCTGGGCAGTTTCCACCACTAGAGGTCAGTGTCAGACAAGAAGACCTAGGAGGCAGGGTGCTGAACTGGTCCCTGGAGGGACCCGCGGATCCTGACCAGCCCCGGGGGGCCATGGTCCTGAAGGGAGTGACCGTAGGAACCCTTTGTCTCATCATATCATCACTCACCACCTACAGGCATTGTGCTTGCTAATCACCTCCTCACGTTGTTTCACCGAAATGCTCTCGCAGAGCCCTATGGGAAGCGTCTTGCCCCCAGTCACACCACTAGAAAGTGATAGGGGGTTGGGTTCGCATCAGCGCTCTGCAGGGCTTCCCCACTCCTCGTGGGCTCCCTGGAGTTTCCCAGCCACCTCGGGGGGCAGACAGGGTGGGATAAAGACCCTCAGCCCCACCCCAGTACCAGGAAAAGGGCAGTGAAGCCCAGAGAAATTCGGCGAGCGACCCAAGGTCACAGGAGCAGGCAGTCAGAACTCAGGGCTCTGGACCTCGGTTTTTCCGGCAGGCGCCCCGGACACACCACCTGGGCTCTCTGTCACCACATGCGGGCTCTGAACCATGGCAGGTAACACAGCGCTTGGAAGTATTCTGAAGATGGGTTTTAGATTAGGAAAAAAGTAACACTTTTTTCCTTGACGACCCAAGGAAGTCATTCTTACTATAGATGAAAGAAGGGGGGAAAAAAAACCCTACTTGTAATCCTACTACCCAAAGATAACCATTGTTAATTTTTGGGGTATATTTCCTCCTAAATGTTTTCTTAAACAAATGTGCATATTTTAAACAAAAAAGTGCTTTTCTTTTTACAGTAGCCTGGGGAACGCGGATGATCTCCCAGAACCCCTTACCCCGGGCCCAGGCAGGTGGGTGAAAGGCCCCACACTGTAGGCCTACTCAGGCAGGTGAAGGGGTTGATGTGGGAAGAAGATGCCAATCATCACAGACCCCACCCCCGGCCCCGCCCCCCCACCCCCTAGGTCCAGGATTCTTGAATGAACAAAGATCAGCGCCCTGCCTCCCAACACATGGGGTCTCTAAAGGGGAGGCAGGGAGGGGAGGGGTCTCACCATGGCCAGCTCAGCCTCCAGCTCCTTCATCCGGTTGTCCTTGAGGTCCAGCTGGGAGCGCAGCGCCGTGGCGTGGTCCGTGGCCTCCTTGGCTTGGCGCCGGAGCTCCCACTTCTCCCGCTCCAGCAGGTCCTTCTCCTTGGCCAGCGCTTTGACAGCGTCCTCGCTCTCCTGCAGGGGGAGAATGCCAGGGCGTCACCGCAGGGTGTGCGGGGCCTCCTCTTGGCCCAGAGATACACAGAGGGGCCGGGGCTCCCGACCACAGGAAGACGTGGGCGGCCCCAATGCATGTGGCCAGTGGGGAAGCTCCGGGTTTGGATCCCAGCCGTGCCACAAACTAGCTGGGAGACTGGAAGAGAGGTAACCTGTGAGTGGAGGCTCAGGAAATACTTTTCAATGACTAAATGAGCAAATGCTTGCCACAGGTGAGTTGTTTCATGCCATCCAGTCTCAGTGTCTCCGTATTTAAAATTGCAGAGATGGGCTATCAATACTGTTTCAAAAAATTGTGACAGAGATTCAATTCATGTGAGGGAGATATTTAAACAGAGTCTGGCAGAAGTTGGGGTCAATAGTGGGTTTGGGGCTTTGTTTTGTTGTTGGTAACATGCCTGTCAGAGGGAGACAGGGACAGAGAAGGGAGCACCTGCAGGCCAGTCCCTTTGGGTGCCATCGGGTCCTGCCACCATCCTCGAAGGTCACAGCTGACAATGAAACAGGCTGAACGCCTCAGCTCGCTGTAGCATCTGCATGCAGCACAGCTCGCGGCCAGGCACCCCGGCTGCTGCTCCGGGGCGGACCCCGTGGGAGCTGTTTTCCCTGTGACTCTATGGGAAGGGCCCAGGGTTCTTGCTGTGCATCGTGGAGCAGAGTCAGCAGCAAGGAGCACAGGGCTGAATCAGGGGCGTGACCTCTGCGGGCGAGGGTCAAGTTTCAGAACAGCAGGTGCCCTTCCCAAGCAGAAGGGTCCCAGTAGGGGGCGCCGCCCAGCCATGGCCTTCCTGTTCACCAAATCAGGAGCCAGTCCATGTGGCCTGGGGCCATGGAGAGAGGTGGCCATTGTGCTTCATCTAACAACCCTGTCCCCAAAGGCCTGACTTCCAGGTGGCCAGGGACCAGGAGGCTGAGGGAGACACTGGCCCTTCCTCGGTGGCTGTCCCAGAGCTGTGGCTATGACTTAAGTTCTGGGGAGAGTCTGGGTCGAATTCTGGCTTCGCAGGGATGAGCTGCAAGGACTACCGTGCCTCAGTTTCCTCATCTGTAACACAGGGATGATATCACTTGTATGTTAGGGTGTGACTGTGAGGACTAATGGGACATTTCACACGGGGGGCTCAGCCTGACACGGGGCGCATGGCGCAGGCTCGCTCCCTTCACTCCAGTGCCTTCCCCCTGCGGCCTCCCTGGCCCCCCATCTCAGAGAGTGGCCCTGGGTTCTCTCCAGCCCGTCTTCCCGTGTTGGTGCCTGGCACTGGCCATTCAACCACTATTCACAGACTCATCAGCAGGTGCAAACCAGACAAAAATCCCCACACCGTGGAGCTTACACTGCAGCCCTACTGCGCGCTCGCTCTGTTCCTTCATCGGCAGCCCCCTCGGGGCGCCAGAACAGCGACCTGGCAGCGAGTCCCTGATAAGTCCCCACAGAAGAAATGAATGTGCACACTGCAGCTGCCAGGAGGACACGCGTCCTACGTCACCAGGGCCCCGCTCCTCAGTGTACTCTAGAGGGGGTGGTGCAGGGGACGATTCCTTCTGGGACGTGTCATTGGCGCCAGCACTCTGGGGTCGGGGTGCCTGGGTGTGAGTCTCAGGCCAGTCCGTGGCAAGGTGCCGGCCACTGGCCGTGTTGTTTAACTCCCTGAAACCTCAACCATTTCACTTGCGAGACAGGGACAATCCCACTCTCTAGGACGATGGCTTCAGAAGGGACCTGTGATACAAATACAAGGGACTGTTACAAAGTCACTGGCCAGGTGTGCGCTCAGGCCCTGGAAGCAAGGAGCCATTCTACCACTGGTCCTTTCTTCTCTCTCCTGGGAGTATGTATCATATATATCATTTCCTATACATACATGTATTTTAAATCCTCACCAGAGGACTTTAAAGAGCAAAACAGGGAGAGACAGAGAGAGAGAAACATCCATCAGCTGCCTTCCCAACTGGGGATCAAACCTGCAGCCTAGGTATGTGCCCTGACCTGCGATTGAACCCACAACGCTTTGGTACGTGGGACGACACTCCCACCAACCGAGCCCCCGGCCAGGGCGTGCATGACGATATATAAACCCCACAACCGCCCACGAGGTGGAGAAGCCCCCCAGCCCCACGGACAGCGTGGTGGAGGCCTCAGTCCTTGATGGGAATGGCGGCAGGAAAGGAGCAGAGGGGAGACCTGCTGGGGGGCAGGGATGGCTGGACTGGTGAGGGGACGTGGCCTCCTCAGTCGCTTCCTCAGGGGGCACCTCCAGGAGCGCCTCCCTGCCTCCCTCGCCCACCGCCAGGTTAAGGCGTTCGCCATCGGAGCCACAGCCGCGGTGGTTTTCACAGCCTTTGCACCATGGCCTCATGATGGCTACTAGGTGAGGGGCGTTTTCCAGTTCCACTGTAATTTAATGGGACCACTGTCGTATATGTGGTCTGTCACTGATCAACATGTCATTGTATGGCACATCACTGTAGTCTATGTGTTTGTGACCCGCCAAAACGCACATGTTGGAATCCTGATGCCCAATGAGATGGTTTAGGAGGTGGGACCTCTGGGAGGCGCTGAGGCCACGGGGGTGGAGCCCTCATGAGCGGGATGAGTGCCCTCAGGAGGAGACCCCGCGGAGCTCCCTCACCCTCCTGCCGTGCGAGGTCACAGCGGAAGGTCCCAGACCTGGGAGATGAGCAAGAAAACAGGCTGTGGCGGCTTCCCTCTCCTCCCCTCTTCTTCCACAGACATCCTCCTCATTGCCACAGCTTGTCTATAAGTGACAGGCCAGGGAGGCCAACTCCAAAGGGACCCGGCTCAGCAGCCGTGAAGGACGCAGGCAGCGGACACCGGAGCCCTGCTGCTCAGGCCAGCGGCACCTGGGACGGCTGGCAGCTCCCAGCCACGGTCAGAGGTCACTGGGGCTCTGCACCTGTGGGCGGTGAGGGTGCGTCGCTACCGGCGAAGACACGAGTGGGCTGCAGGGCGGATGAAGCCTTTACATTCCAACCCCGTCTCTGACACTCTGGCCTCTCAGCTCAGAGGCAACATACGCGAATGCACTCGTGGAACTGGCCTCCAGCCACCAAGTGTTCGAAGAACTTATCAAACCTTTCGTGGCCAGCAAAGCTGAACAAACCTCCAGCCTCCACTTCTCTCCCCAGAGTATGTGTGAACCTTGGTCACAGCCCTTGTCATACAGTGACATGTACCTGAAGAACAGCTTTTCACAGTTTCTGTGCTCTGTTCACCAGAAGATTATCACTCTCGCCCTGCTGATACTGTGGCTCACTGAGGCCTGCTTGGTTTGGGGGGACTGACTTTTTTCTTTAAGATTTGGCACCCTCTTCAGCATGTCTGCACCACATACACCAAGTTCCTCAGTTATCTGACTTCAACTCCTACTCATCCCGCAGAGCCCAACGCATAGTCACCTCCTCTGGGAAGCCTTCCAAGACTGTTTCCCTGCATGCAGGATTTCCTGCTGTCTCATGGGTGCACTCTAGCTCTCTCTTTATACATTTATTATGGTATTATTAATAAGGTACATAGCTAATGTTTAGTGAGCGCTTACTATGCACTAGGCACTATACTGAGAGCTCCACATTCGTCATCTAAAATAGCCCTTACCACAGCTCTCCAAGGTCTGCACCACATTCCCTGTGTAGCAGATGAGGAAATGGAGGCTCCTAAAGGTTGGGATGTACAAAGGCACGTACGTGGGGAGCTGGGATCTAAACCTAGGCCAGCCTTTAACCAGAGTCCCCACTGTCACCGGCTGAGCCATACCGTCCATGCATGTTTGCTGAGAAGCCATGGAGCCTCCCAAACTAGGAGCTGTGCCTGTTTCAGGCCGGGCTAGACACGTCGAAGGCCTCCCCAGGTGAGCACGAGGTGACAAGGGCAGAGAGTCCGCTCTCTGGGATTTGGGAGGCCATGCCCTGTGCAGGGAGATGGGGAGGGGAGCTGGTGTCTCCGGGGGAAGGGGAGTCGGGGGAGCGGGCCCCTGACCTTGCGGTGCTGCTCGTAGTTCCGGATGAAGTCCCGCAGCTGCTCCTCACGGCTCTCCAGCGTGGCGTACAGCTGCTGCATCTGGCTCACCAGGTCCGTCTTCTCACCCTTGAGGCGCTTCCGGTCGGCTTTCATGGCTGGGGGACAGAAGAGAGAGTGAGTTCCAGAGATCCGAGCTGTCTGTCAGCCTCGAAAGCTGAGAAAGGACTCTATTTCTATCCCCTTTTAACAGATGAGGAAACAGTGTTCAGAAAGATGAAGCTCTCCCAAGCTCCCCTGCCAGCTGCATTCCCAGGGTTCGAACCCAGATCCGTCTGTTCTGGAGTCCCAACTGTAACCTCTCAGTTTTATTGATCCAACCGGGGGGTATGTCCTTGATTAAATGTCTATCCTTGCTCTGAAATGCTAGGCCCCCGCTGCGAAGGAGCTGGAGGCCTGGTGGGCCTGTGACCCCCACGGCCCAGGGAGCTGGTGGCACCCCACTCCTGCAGAAACGAACCCCCAGGGCTCACCTGAGCCCACCAGCACCGGCCAGCCCTGCCCACCAGCCCATCACCTGCCCCATTTCCTCCACGGGCAACAGCGTTTGATTAAAAACACGCAGCAGCTCGGCACCAAAAGCATGAGCAGCAGAGGGAAAAATGGACACACTGAAATTCATCAGAATTAAAAAGTTTTATTCTTCAAAGGACACCATCAAGAGAGTAATTTGACAACTCAGGGAACGGGAGAAAATATTTGCAAATCATCTGATAAGGGCCTTATCTATAGAATACAAGTATGTAAAGAACTCTTACAGCTCAAGAAGAAAAAGACAACCCAATTTAAAAAAATGGGCAAAGGACTGGGGTAGATACTTCTCCAAGAAATGGCCAATAAGCACATGAAAAGGTGCTTGACATCACTGGTCATGGAAATGCAAATCAAAACCACAATGAGCTACCGATTCTCATTCACTATAAAAGCTAAAATAAAAAGGAGACAACAACAAGTGTTGGCACGGATATGGAGAAACTGGAACCACCATACGGTGCTGGTGGGAATGGGAAATGGAGTAGTCACTGTGGAAAGTAGCCTGGCAGTTCCTCAAGTGGTTAAACATCAAGTTACCCTTTGATCCAGCAAACGCATGCCTCAGCACATGCCCACGGGAAATGAAAACATCAGGCCACACAAAAACTTGTAGACAAATGTTCATACATTAATCACAGTGGCCCGCAGGTGAAACAACCACATGTTCATCAGCAGATGAATAAATTTAAAAATGTAGTGTATCCATCTAATGGGGTATTATTCAACAATACAAAGAAGTAAGGATTCATCCTACAATATGAATGAACCTTGAAAATATGCCAAGTGAAAGAAGCTGGTCACCAAAGGTCACAAACACGGTGGGGCAAAAGTAGGTTTACAGTTGGGAGTACATGGAACAGTTTATTCTTGTATCATCATTTGTTAATTATTGCATCATTTTCTATATGAACAGCTGTAAACCTACTTTTGCCCCATCCTGTATTGTATGACTTCATTTCTATGAAGTGTCCGGAGTAGGAAAGCCTATGGAGATGGAAAGTTGGCACGGAGTGGTTAAGCCACTTGCTCAAAGTCACACAGAACCCAGACCCCACACACTTGATCCTACATAACACCGTCTCTATAGTGAAGCACCCCAAACCTGGAGGATCCAAGAGCCATAGCTCGCTGGGGACAGTGATACGGGGTAGGCAATGGCTGTGCCACCCCATCCTGTCCAGACTCCCAGCCCTTGGCCTGAGGACCCTGGGCTCCTGGCCCAGTGCCTGCCATAAGCTGACACCTTTCTGACCCTGCTGGAAGGAGGTGGGGGCTCCTTCCTCCTCCTGCCCTTTGCCCTCCTGCCCCGCTGCCCCTGGTAGGACACGATGGGGGCAGGGTAACCGGCACCATGTCATCACGCGTGAGCAGCCACAAGGAGACCCCGCAGTGGGGACCCCAGGCCTTGGGCGGCTCTTTAAACCCCAGCGCTGAGCTTCCTGGCTCCCACGGCAGGGTCTGTCCTCTTCGTGGCCAGCTCGGCTGGGCAGCGACTTAGGTCACCAAGGCCAGGATCCCAGACCTGCTGGGCCGGAACCTTCAAGGGCTGGGACGGCAGAGCCTGCGGAGAGAGGACTCACTTGCTCCTCTGTCCTGTCAGGCGGGGGGTGGCCACACTGGGCCCCAGGGTAGGCGCGGGAGGGGCAGGGCTGGGCTGATTTTGTGCCCTGCACCCTATCATGGTGTGACCACGTTACCAGGGAGCCTCATTAAACAAAACCCAACATCTAAAGGTGTAGCCTGGTCAGGAGGACTCTCCCACAAGAGTGGGGGCCCAGCTGTCGCCGAGCAATCGGAAATCCCCAGGTGCCCTCGTCTCGTTCCATCCTGGCTGTGCTCCCTTGGGGCAGAGCTGCGTGGGTGGGTGCGTGTCTGCATCATCCCATTTCACAGGGGGAAACGAAGGCCACACGGCCAGTAAATGGCGGAGCTGGCACCAGATGCCCAGTCTCAGGGAGGTCGTGGATCGGCGGGGCATGAAGGCCAGAGGGAAGCCCTGCTGAGGGAATGGCTCCTAGGGAGGCCGCTGACCCAGCAAAGTGACCGCTGAGGCTTCTCAGCATAGGCTCGGGCGGGCCTCTGCCTTTTGGTTGGAAATTAACCGCCCCCGGGCTCTGACTGACCTCCTTCAGCCCCATCTGGCTGAGAACCAAACTCCGGACTTCGCTCTTGGCGCCGGAGCTCTGCGAGGGGTACCCCCTTCCTGCAGCCTTGCTGGACCTTCCTTCACCTTTGCCACATGGCCTTGGAGGGAGTGACGCCACAGCCCCATGCTGGCCTGCATGGAACGCCTCGCTGCTCCAGCCCCACACCATCTCTGCACGCGCTGGGGAAGCTGCGTGTCACTCTCTGTCCATCCGTGGAGGGCTGCACACGAGCACACATCTGTGTGTCGGTGGTCTCAGTGCAGGGGGAGTGATGGGGCAGGGAGCTATGCCTCCCCCATCCACTGGGGGCGCGCTGACAGCAAGGGCTGGGCCTCTGCCTTCTGATCAGTAGCTCCTCCCTAAGAGGAGAGTGAGAGCTCCCTCAAGCTGTTTGATTAAACCTCTTGTGTGTGCCAGGCTCCATGCCTGCTGCTGGGAGGGGACAGGGACGAGCAAGATTGGGCCCCTATTTTTTCGGTGGTGGCAGATCTGATCGGAGAGACAAACCCATATATGCATGGATGACGTGAGTCTCCATCTACCCTCCTCCTTCCCGAGAGAACCCCGATTTTGCTTGTGCCCTGTTAAAACACTCAGCTTCCCAAGCTCCGTTGCAGCTAGCGGGGGTGTGTCACAGTTCTGGCTACTAAGATGTACACAGAAGTTTACTGGAAAACCCACTGCATTCTTTATAGAGAAAGGTCACAGTATGTTGGCAGTTACCCTTGCCTTTTGCCCTTCTGCTTTCTTCCTGCTGGGAACATGGATGTGACATCCTGAGGCACAACAGCCACCTTGTAAGCATGAGGATGAAGTCACACGCTGAAAACAGGGAGCAGACAGACAGACAGAAGGAGCCTGGACGGCTGATGGCATCACCCAGGCTGGAATTCCTCAAAACAGGAGAAAAATCAGCTCCTGTGTTCACGGGATTTCCCGTTACAGGCCGCCCAGCGCACTGCTGACTGACACACCAAGCGAGGCTGTGAGAAGAGCCGCCACCCCCACCGCACAGGCTTCGCTCCGTGCTTCCTTCCCATAAGCTCTCCTTGGGGGGTCCCTGCTCTGCCCAACTCTGGGCCGGACCCCACCGGGCTGAGAACCGAGAAGATACGAAAGCAGAATCCCTGGGAGTGAATGCCGAGTGAAGAGCACCGAGCAACAAAGATGAGGCGACTTGGGACCCACGGTGTGAACAACGGAGCCGCCGCGCCAGCTGCCTGCTCGTCTGAAGCCACCTTTCCACAACCTGCTCGAGAAACCGCCCACGAAGGAGCAGGACCTCAGGCACCAAGGACTCCCGCGCCAGTGAGGGGGCAGGTGGGTGTGCGCTGGCCCACTGGGCCTGAACGATGTCACAGTGTTGCCCCCATCACATGGGGTCTGGTATTGTAACTCTTAAGAAAACAAGGAGGTGCAGCAGGACAGACCCCCTCAGACACGCTCCCAGCTACCTGCACATGGCTGTGAACATCACACAAAGAAAGGCTTCCTTCCTCCCTTCTCCACAGGCAGGCTTTCATTTCTCTTCCCAAACGGCTGCGACACAGGCGTGGGGTCTGCGAGGCGTGACCGGCCCTCTCGGCCTCGGCGGAAGCTCCCCAGCGCCCTGCTCGCCTTCCCCGCCATGCGCTTCGCCCAGGCATGTCCCATTCCGGCAGCCAGGCCAGTGGAACCACTGCCATGGTGACAGTGATGTCACGCCTGGCAGGCCCTGCAGGTCACGGAAGGAGACTAGCCTGGCTCCTCGGAACGTGGGGGCTCTGGGGTGGGAGGGGGGCGTGTGCGGAGGGGCCTGCTTTTCTCACTCCGAGGAGGCCTGAGGTGTGCAGGAGACGAAGGGCGTCAGCAGGGGCCCAGCTACAGCCCCCTCCCCCAATGGCACTTGTCGGGGGATGTCACTTTTCTCAGGCTTCTGAGGTGGGCCTGGCCTCAGCAGACCTCTCCCCCGGACGTGGGGGCAAGAGGCAGCCGCGGCCAGTGTAACTTCTGCAAATGTAACTCTTGGCGGGTGGGGACCAGAGAGAGGAGGTCTCTGCCCTGATCCCTCCCCTGTCAGGCAAAGCAGACCCTCTTGTCCAAGGCCCGGGCAAGCGGGCCACAGCCGGCAGGTGAAAAGAACAGGACAGGTTAATTCTGAACTGCTAGGAGCTGGGGGCCCGGAGGTAAGCGATTTCACAGGGTGCTTGTGAGCACGAGGGACTTCTCCTCGCCCAACAAGGCAGTGTGCGCAGTGTGCGCTGGGGGCGGAGGGACCCGGTTCTCGGCTCTCCACTCTCTGAGCCTCCGTTTCCCCAGCATGAACGTGCTAGACTCTGCGAGCTTCCTTTGGCCTCTGAGATCCTAGGACGCGTCACCTTGATGGCCGCGACCCCCAACCTCCAACATGTCAACCGCCCTCATCAACACCACACAGC